GCCGTCAACACCGAGATCATGACGTGGAATGTCCTTCATTAGTTCCCTGGCAACATTGTTGACCTCGGGATGCATGTGCCCCATGTGTGTCCGCAGTGCTCGCTCATTTGGAAAGTAGAGCCCACACATATCACATGGGAGGCCTTCCACGTCTGGAATCTGCACAAGCCTAACGTGCGACCTTTGATCACAATCACGTTGTTTGACTATGTTGTCATAGGCCCACTGAGCTTGCAACCAAATTTCACCCGTGCCCAGAATGCCATTGTACTCAGATTGTGAAGCAGTGCCGAGCCTGTCTAGGAGCGATGCACAAAGGTCCACAAGCATGTCCATGGGATCCTTCAAGCCAAGTCGAGCCTGTAACGCCTCAGTGGTTTCGCCAGTGAGGTGCCTGGGTGATTGAGCAATGGCACGCCAATGTCTAGCTGTAAGGCCCCGTAGTCTAGCGGCTGACGCAGGCGTAATGCCCACTGTGCTTAGTCCGTAGGAAAGTGAGGTCCATACGCACATTGACCACATGCGAACCCTCTGCTGCCTAGGAAGAAGGCGACTGTGCAGGAACTTCTTAAGGCGCTTGTAGTTATTACCGGCCGCCTCAAAGCGCTTCTGAAAGGAGAGGTCTTCGAAGGAGTCATAGGACAGGACCATTCCCATGTAGTCATGCCTTTCCACCACCGGAATCAAAGTTTTGTTGCCGGCAACATCAAGCGAGATGTATTCCCCTTCTGAATTGCGCCTCACCATGCGCTTCCTCACCGCAGTGCTCTGGGTACCAGCAACCTTGAAAAGAATAGCCGATTTCTTGAAGTTGATCACAAGGTTATGGGACTGTAACAATTCAATGATACATTGAAAGCGGATCAGGGCCAAGGCGAGGTCTCCTTTGGAGCGCAGAACACAGGAGGCAAGAAAGTCATCCGCATAAGCAGTGATACCTTCCGAGCTCCAACTGCTGTCAGCACCGTCCATGCCTTCGGTACGCAGTGCAATCAGCTGATCCAATCTTTTGAGCAGGTAGACCGTAGCACAAGACCATAGCAACGGTGCAAGCACACAGCCCTGGCGGATACCCTGATCTACCGGAATAGTGGCAGAGGCGCCTCCGTGATTGATATGGTACCTGGAATCCAGGTGCCAAGCTGTGACGAGGTTGATCAATGCTTCCGGTGCTCCTGCTTCACGGAGTGAGAGGATCACTAGCGTTCTTGGTATGCGATCAAAGGCCTGGCTAAGGTCTAGACTTAGGCAGCATCCACCGACAAATTCTTGCTTCTGCACGCCTTGTCGCATGTGAAAAACCGTCCTGACTTGTGATCTTACAAGGTCCCTGACATTGCGGCAGTGCGAGAAGGCCCTCAACAAAGCATATGCACCTTCACGCTGAGGTAAATAGGCCATTTGCGGAGTGCCGGTGGCATAGGACTGCACATATGGTTTTAACCTGTCACAAATGAGTCGCATCATAGCCTTGCCCCCCATACATTGTAACCCCACTGGCCTCAGCGTTTCCGGTCGTTTTGTCTTCTTCTGCGGTTTTGCCAGGAGCGCCAGCCACGCGTCCTTCCATAATGATGGAATCTTGACCGGGACCTGCTGCATGAGCTGCTCCATATACAGTTGTAAGTGCGGCGCAATCAGATCCGAGCACACTTTCCATAGCGCACCAGGTGCGCAATGAGCTGGCGAAGCCTTGTGGAATGGAACTTTGTTCAGAATTGCAGAGATGTCTGGAGTCGTGAATTGCAGTCCCTGTGAGCTACCAACCAAAGGCGGTTGCACTCCCTGAAAGAAAAGGGATGTGTAGTAGATTCTAAGCTCCTCCAGTTCCTGCGAAGGAGTGAGAAGCTTTCCATGCTCATCCCGAATTTGAATTCTGAGCTTAACCTGCTTGGGCGCGAGCTTCCTCACCAGATCGTAGACACCCTTGATGTTGTGTTGTAATCCATATGACACAGCCTGTTTCAGCGTGTCATCCACAAACTGTTTCCGGATTTGCCTACTGGCCTTCTGAACCGCCCGTTTCTGCTGTCTGAAGGAGGTGAGAGCCCTCCAGGATTGCAGAACATGAGTCAAACTGGTACCCTTGATGGATTTGAATGATTGCCAGCACTGCCATAATCTGCATATAGGCCCTCTAACCATGTCCTGAGTATGATAAGTTTGGCGCGCACGACGATCATCAGCAGGTAGAACAGCCTTGCCAGCATCAATCAGGATTTGATTCAGGAATGTAGCGTCAATGTTCGAGGAGTTGAGAGCGCTACGAACTCGGTCTCGCAGTGCTTCACGTTTGGCTGGGTCTGTCAGAAGAGCTGAAGTGGCAAGTGGATTGCGCTTTTGGCGACTGCGGGCCTTCCAGACTCTAAAGTCGCTCCGGATGCTGGAGATCAGGGGTCTGTGCAAGCCATCCAATTTCCATGCTCCAACTGGGAAATCTGAGAGTGGGACGCACTGCTTGGAGAGACCATCCGCTGCCTCAGAAGCCGTGATGATAAAGTCAATTTGCGTTGCCGAGCTCCCCATAGAATAGGTGTGCATTGCGCTCCGAGGACCACGCCAAGTATTCAGAGCGGTGAGCTCATGGAAACCCAGCATCGCCAGAACCCTGGGCATGTCATCAACAACATCACCCGCGTTGCGCACAATGGTGGCCGTACCCACCTGCATACCAGCCTGCGGGAGCTGGCCATTGAAGTCTCCGGCCAGAATGAGATGATTCCTTCTGGTTCTGCCCGACAGTACCTTCTCAAGCTTCCCCCAGATGACCCCTCTCTGTCCTATAAGTGCCTGTCGCTCACTGCGAGTGTTCCAAGGGACCTGGTAAATATTAATGATGTCTATAGAAATGTCTTGCCATCCAACTCTGAGGTGAAGGAGCCTGCCTGGATGTAGGACTTCGTATGCAATCTGTGAGGCCTGAGCGAGCTTAGTGGAAATCATGCACAAGACTCCAGCATACCGAGCATGTGGATCGCCGCTATGCACGAAGTGCCATCGAGATGAGGACCACTCAGCATCATGACCCCAATGAGTCTCCTGAAGCATTACTATACTGATGTGTGATTGTTTCGGTTGATCTAGCCATTCGAGAAACTCGTCAAGCATGCCAGTTGAAAGTCCCCCTGTATTCCAGCAGAAGGCATGT